CCTATATATGTACTTGGATTTATTACTGGGCTTTCTATTGCATTCTACTTGGCTCTATTTGTCTATTGCTATGCTAACACCATGGTATTTTTATGACAGTGGTTTTGTGGTCAGTTATAATAAGGCAAGCCTTTGCCATCCTCCAACTGTTCCTTTTCTTAGCTACTCTTGAATGTGAATTCTTCCATATAAACCTTAAAATACTTTTATCCAGTTCCAGGAAAAACTCCATTAGATTTCTCACTGGCATTGCACTGAGTTCATATATTAATTTAGGGTTTGGGAAGTTTGACTATTTTATGATAAGGAAATGTAGTGCGTATCGCCTATATTATGTAATACCACAACCAGGGTCTGGGCCAGCAGCCCACGATGGGATACTTGGGTGTTTCTTCAGGGAAAAGTGTGCATATTCACACTAAGTGGGTTATATATAGACTATATATAGTCTTGTGTCAGTTCCGATCAGGTTTTGCCTCTAGGTGAGTTCGTGCTTGCAAAAATCCTTGCCTTATTTTATTAATGGGTTCTTGAGGATTTTTTGTTTATTTTTTGTGGGTTTTTAAAATCAGTATGTAATGTCTCTTTTTATAATGCTTTTGGCTTTGAGCTGTACTTATCTGACATTCACATTGCTACCGTTGCTTTCTGTTTGTGTTTTCCAGGTATACCTTTAGGTTTCTTTAATTTTTAACCTTTCTTTATCATCTAGTTTTAGGTATATCTCTCATAAAAACCCCATTTATGCTTCCTTAGACCATTGACAGTGCAATCTTTAGGCTACTTTTTCTTCTCCAGTCTCTCTCAGCCTCCCTGGCCCTTGAAATGGTGCTTTAGAACACTTCTGATTCTCATTCTTTCTCTGATTCCTAATCCTTAACTTCTGGGTTTTGCTTAGGCAGCTTTAATTTTTTTTTCTTTTTGAATTCCAGGCTATCATTATATTTTCTGACTGACATACTAAATCACTTACATTTCAAGAAGCGTAGCATAACACATAATATTACAAACTTCCAATCACGTTATCTTTGTCATTTTATGTTTAACTATACATATATTAAAAACCAGGCTGGGCACTCTGGGAGGCCAAGGCGGGTAGATCGTTTGAGCTCAGGAGTTCGAGACCAGCCTGAGCAAGAGTGAGACCCCATCTCTACAAAAATAGAAAGAAATTAATTGGACAGCTAAAAATATATAGAAAAAAAATTAACCGGGCATGGTGGTGCATGCCTGTAGTCCCAGCTACTCGGGAGGCTGAGGCAGGAGGATTGCTTGAGCCCAGGAGTTTGAGGTTGCTGTGAGCTAGGCCGACGCCACGGCACTCTAGTCCGGGCAACAGAGTGAGACTCTGTCTCAAAAAAAAAAAAAAAAAAAAACCCAGGCTGGGCACAGTGGCTCACGGCTGTAATCCCAGCACTTTGGGAAGCCAAGTCAGGATGATCAGTTGAGACCGGGAGTTTGATACCATCCTGGGCAGCATAGCAAGACCCCGTCTCAAAAAAAATTCTTTTTTAAAATCAGCTGGGCATTGTGGCATGTACCTGTAGTCCCAGCTACTTGAGAGGCTGAGGCAGGAGGATCGCTTGAGCCCAAGAGTTTGAGGTTATAGTGAGCTATGATGACACCACTGCACTCCAGCCTGGGCAACAGAGCAAGACCCTGTCTCTAAAAAAACAAAACAAAAGCTTGTGGCCCACCACCATTTACCCTCCCGTTTCTTTGCCTTCCCCTATCTTGAGCCCTTGGGGTCATTCAGTAGTCATTTGCTTAGAGAACTTCCTTGTTCTCTCCACGTTCTCCTCCAACAGGGTACATGAGTTAGATGCACTCTGCTGGTCAGAAATGTTTTTCGGCCAGGTGTGGTGTCTCACGTCTATAATCCCAGCACTTTGGGAGGCTAAGGCAAGAGGATCGCTTGAGGCCTTGTCTCTACAAAAAATAGAAAAACTAGCTGGGTGTGGTGGTGTGTACCTATAGTCCCAGCTACCTGTGAGCCTGAGGCAGGAGGATCACTTGGGCCCAGGAGTTCGAGGCTGAAGTGAGCTGTGACTGCACTCCAGCCTCGGCAACAGGGCGAGGCCCTGTCTCTTAAAAAAACAGCAACAACAACAACAAACAGAAAACGTTTTTCTTTAGCTGAATAGATCTGTACTGTCTTGGCTGAGTGTGGGGCCCTTGGCTTGGCTCTCAGGCCTTCCTTCTCAGTGCTCCACAGGTGCCATGAGCCACCGTCTTGCTTCCAGGATTGTGGAGCAGAAGTGCACTGACAATCTGACCTTCTTTCCATTGTAAGCAACCTGTTCTTTGTCTCTGGAAGCTGACAGGTGTTTTTCATTCTTAGAATTTGGGCATTTCACCAGCTATGAATAGAAGTGGGGGAGGCCTGTTGTAAGTCTGTTTGTTAATTAATGCTATCTAAGACTTGGTGAGCCATTTCTTCATCTCGGAAATTTTCCTTCATACCTGTTTAATTCTAACATCTCCACCTAATCCCTTTTCTCCCTTTCCATTTGCTAATATTTGCTTATTAGGTCTCCTGGACTTGGCCTCCAGGTCTCTCTACTTTTTCACTCAAATCATCAAGCCTTAGCTCCCTGCCTTCAGACCATTCATTTGATTTTCAGTAATATGACCATCTTCATTTCACCTGTTAAGTGTTTTAATGATCTGATTAATGTTTTAGAAAGACTACTCTGGCAGCTGTTGGGAAACATTGGAAAGGAACAGAGAGGAAGTGAGGACTGGTTAGGAGGCAGTTTCAGGTGAGAGATGTGGTGGCTTGGATAGGGTGACAAGGTGGAAATGAGAGAAGAGGGGGAATTGAAGAAGGTTTTGCCTGCAGAAGCCACAGGGCTTCAAGATGGTTTGGATCCAAGGGTTGAGAAAGAGGCAAAGTTGCCTCTCAGGTTTCTGGCCTATTAAGCAATTGAACAGATAGAGATGCTCTTGATTTAGATGAGGAGCAGAGGAGGAAGTCATGTGTAGAGTGGATTTTGGGCTCCCGTTTTGGACCCCTTAGGTTTGCAGTGCCCTGTGAGACATCCAGGGAGAAGCAGTGACATCTAGACGTGGCTTAGAGTTTGTTTCCCCCTCAGCTCTGTGGGAAAACGTGCAGTGGATTCCATGGAAATGCTGCTTCAGAATGGCACTTGCTTGTACATGGCAGTGTCTTAAACAGATAGAAGTTGACTTGTTTCATACAATGGGGTTTGAAAGTTAGCACTGGACATTGCTGTCGCGGGCTTAGCAGCCCTCTGGCGTCAGGGCTGACATCTCTTAAGACTCTCCCGAACTTACCTTTAGGTGGCCATTGGTGCTTCAGCTGCCACATCACATGTGAGGTGGGAAGAAGGGCTGTAAGGGGAAGTGAAAAAGAGAGAAGGGATAGATTTCTGATGTTTCAAGGGCCAGAACCAGACAAAGTCAAGCATAACATTGTCTCATTTGTCTAACATACATGGCATACCTGTTCCACGATACTTTTTCTAAAATTTGTCTGGGCTCTTCAGTAACGTAAATGAGGTTTAGATCCCAGCCCTACCATTTCCTGACTGTAGAATCTTGGTCACTCACTATTTGTCCCATACCTTTTTGCCATTTTCTGTAAAATGAGAATCTCTACCGTTTGCAGGAGGAAGACTAGTGTGAATATGAGATTAGGAGTGTGGGCTCTCAAGCTTTGGGCCTGGGCTTCAAATTTTGGCTCTTTCACTTAGTAGCTATGGGGACTTGGGCAAATATCTTATCCTGACTGTGCCTGTTTCCTCATGTAAAGAGTGGCAATAATAGTAGAACCTAGGCCGGGCGCGGTGGCTCACGCCTGTAATCCTAGCACTCTGGGAGGCCGAGGCGGGCGGATTGTTTGAGCTCAGGAGTTCGAAACCAGCCTGAGCAAGAGCGAGACCCCGTCTCTACTAAAAATAGAAAGAAATTAATTGGACAACTAAAAATATATAGAAAAAATTAGCTGGGCATGGTGGCGCATGCCTGTAGTCCCAGCTACTCAGGAGGCTGAGGCAGAAGGATCGCTTGAGCCCAGGAGTTTGAGGTTGCTATGAGCTAGGCTGACGCCACGGCACTCACTCTAGCCCGGGCAAAAAGAGTGAGACTCTGTCTCAAAAAAAAAAAAAAAAATAGTAGCACCTAACTGATGGGATTGATGTGACTATTAAATGAGTTAATGGTTGGGGCAGTGGCAGTGGCTCATGCCTGTAATCCTAGCACTCTGGGAGGCTGAGGCAGGAGGATCACTTGAGCTCAGGAGTTCGAGACCAGCCTCAGCAAGAGCGAGACCCCATCTCTACTAAAAATGGTAAAAATTAGCCAGGTGTGGTGGCGCACGCCTGTAGTCCCAGCTACTCGGGAGGCTGAGGCAGGAGGATCGCTTGAGCCGAGGAGTTTGAGGTTGCTGTGAGCTAGACTGACACCACTGCACTCTAGCCTGGGCAACAGAGTAAGACGCTGTCTCAAAAAAAAAAAAAAAGAATGAGTTAATATTTGCAAAGGGCTCAGAACACTGGCACTTAGCACTATGGAAGTTTGCGTGAGCCCAGGAGTTTGAGGTTGCAGTGAGCTAGACTGACACCACTGCACTCTAGCCTGGGCAACAGAGAGAGAAGCTGTCTCAAAAAAAAAAAAAAAGAATGAGTTAATATTTGCAAAGGGCTCAGAACACTGGCACTTAGCACTATGGAAGTGTTAGCTAGTATTATTATTTCTTATAGTAATGTTCAGCCCTTGTCCTAGTGCCTGGCACATAGTAAGCACTCAGTAAATATTACTTGATATCATTCAGGTATTAGAGACTGCCCAGCCATTTTGTGATACCTTTACTACAGAGTTGTTCATGATTTGATTTTTTTACATGATTTGGATGATATGGAAAGACGGAGTGGGAGTCATTTGTTGCCCTGCAGGCAGCCTGGCTTTGGTAGAAGAACTGGGCCCTGAGGTCTGGGTTCCCATCCCTGTTCTCATAGCGCTTCACTCTGTGTGCCCAGGCCCGTTGCTGGAAGATTGGGACATAATCAGCCCCAAGGATGTCATTGGCTCCGACGTGTTGCTGGCTGAGAAACGGTCATCGCTGACGACTGCTGCCTTGCCCTTTACACAGTCCATCCTCTCTCAGGTGTTTTCAGGGACCCTGGGGGCCCAGCTATGGTTGGAGGGCAGGGCCTACCTGGCACCCTGATTCTGAGCATGCTGGTTGGCATCTTCCCCTAGTCTTCCCAGCTAACCAGTGGCTTCCCTCCCTGCTTCCTTCATAGGTGGGCCGTACCTTGTCTAAAGTCCAGCAGGTACTGAGCTGGTCCTATGGGGAAGATGTCAAGCCCTTTAAACCACCCCTGAGCGATGCCGAGTTTCACACGTACCTGAACCACGAGGGCCAGCTCTCCCGCCCTGAGGAGTTGCGCCTGCGGATCTATCATGGTGGCGTGGAGCCCTCACTGCGAAAGGTGAGCTTCTGCAGTCACTCGTTGGATCCATCATTCTTGTGATCATTAGTAGCTCATATCAACTACACTGTCATGGATGGAGATATTCCAGGGCAGGAAGCTATCTTTTAGGAGCAGCTAGGAGTCACAGGTGAGAAGGAAGATTTGTCAGAAAGAATACAGAGGCCCAGAGGGGTTTGGGAGGTGGTGACTAACTGACACTGGGGTGTGGTGGCTTATCTGGAGAACCTCAGCCTCATCCCTTTCATCTCCGGCCAGGTGGTGTGGCGCTACCTGCTGAATGTGTACCCAGACGGACTGACAGGCCGAGAGCGGATGGACTACATGAAACGCAAGAGTCGAGAGTACGAGCAGCTCAAGAGTGAGTGGGCCCAGCGAGCGAGCCCCGAAGACCTGGAATTCATCCGAAGCACGGTCCTCAAGGACGTACTGCGCACTGACCGGGCCCACCCCTATTACGCGGGGCCTGAGGATGGCCCACACCTGCGAGCACTACACGACCTGCTCACTACCTATGCCGTTACCCACCCACAGGTGTCCTACTGCCAAGGCATGAGTGACCTTGCCTCACCCATCCTCGCTGTCATGGACCATGAGGGCCATGCCTTCGTCTGCTTTTGTGGCATCATGAAGCGCCTGGCTGCCAACTTCCATCCTGACGGCCGTGCCATGGCCACCAAGTTTGCTCACCTCAAACTGCTGCTGCGACATGCTGACCCCGACTTCTACCGGTACCTGCAAGAAGCAGGTGCTGATGACCTCTTCTTCTGTTACCGCTGGCTGCTGCTCGAGCTCAAGCGTGAGTTCGCCTTTGATGATGCTCTCCGCATGCTCGAGGTCACCTGGAGCTCACTGCCCCCTGATCCTCCCGAACATGAGGTGGAGCTGGTTGGAGCTCCCAGCCAAGTGGCAGACAATGGCTTTGGTGGCCACAGGGGGCGGCCTGTGCGACAGAGGCACATGCTGAGGCCTGCTGGTGGAGGAAGCAGTGCCTTTGAAGATGCTGTTGACCACTTGGCCATGCCCAGCCAGAGGCCTGGTGGTGGGGGGCGTCTCCTGAGACAAACCAGCCTGGATGGCCTCCAGCAACTCAGGGATAACATGGGCCCCAGGAGGGACCCTCTGGTCCAGCTGCCTCACCCAGCTGCCCTCATCAGCTCCAAGTCCCTCTCTGAGCCCTTGCTGAACTCCCCAGATCCACTTCTCTCCTCCTTTTCCCACCCTGATTCCCCGTCCTCCTCATCTCCACCATCCACCCAGGAGGCCTCTCCCACTGGCGACATGGCTGTAGGATCTCCCTTGATGCAAGAGGTAGGCTCCCCAAGAGACCCTGGGAAGTCCCTGCGACCCCCACCCCCAGTGGGCCTGCCCCCACCCCAGGAGTTTGGCCGGGGGAACCCATTCATGCTCTTCCTCTGCCTGGCCATCCTGCTGGAGCACCGTGACCACATCATGCGCAACGGGCTAGATTACAATGAGCTGGCCATGCACTTTGACCGCCTCGTGCGAAAACACCACCTGGGGCGCGTCCTGCGCAGGGCCAAGGCTCTCTTTGCTGATTACCTGCAGTCAGAGATGTGGGACTCGGAGGAGGGGGCTGAGGCCACAGCCCCATCTTGATCAAGCTCCCTGCAGCCCACCATCAGCCCCCACCAGGTATCCATTCTTTGCCATGAGGGCCTACACACGAGACCCCACCTCCCTGCCTGCCAGCCCCTAGACCTGTTGGAGTGTGGGTCCCTTTTTCCCCAGGTCAGAGTGTGTGGGGTTCTGCTTCAGCACTGCCCCCTGGAGGCCACAGCCTTTTTTTTCCCGTTTTTGTTGTTTTGTTTTTAACTATACTTTGCACACATGAAGGCCACTGTTGTCTGTGTATTTCTCTGCTTCCTCCCTGGTTTTTGCTATAGATGGAGTCCCCAAGGGCTCTTTACCCGATGGAGCTGAAATATTTCACTTGGTGGAAAGCGGCTCCTACTTCCCCAGTGGTGGGAGAGTGGATACTGAAAATCGGTTCTAGAAGGTGAGCCCAAGTTAGGGACTGCTTGAGGAAGGCCTGAGTCTGTTTTTTTGGTATTTCCGTCTGCCTGTAAGAGTCTATCTTATGGCTGTGAATGTATGTTTTTAGGATGAGCCTCTGAATGAGAGATGAGTGAGAGAGTTCTTGGCTCAAAAAAGGGCAAGATTCATTACCAAGATTGGGAAGTACAGGCCACTTAGAAACGTTGGGCCAGCCACCCCCGGCATACCACATGCCACCATTTCTAGGATCTAGACCCTTCTCTGTGATTCTTATGCACCAATGCTGGCAGCTCTGGGCAGGAGTCTAAGGTTCCTATTCATGCCACTTGCTCTGGAGCCAGCTTGAGCGTCCGTGGCCTTGCCATACCTAGGTCCCTGAAGAGGGTTTCCAGCTCATGGGTACCTGTCTTAACCATTTCAGCAATATTAACCATTTATTTGCCTCCTTCATCCCACTAATGTGGACAAACATCAGACCCTAAAAGAAGTCACCTACTTACTTGGAGGGTAATGGTCAAAAGAAGGTCCTTTTGCCCACTGACCTCAGAAGGTAGGATTCTCTCACAGGCCAGGTGCTAGTCTCCACAAAGGACCTGGCAGATGGCGGCTGGGGTCAGTGGGGTCCTCAGGTCATGGCCTAGCCACGCCAGGTTCTCCCATCCAGGTACTAACCAGGCCCAACCTTGCTTAGCTCCTGAGATCAGACACGATGGGCATGTTCAGGGTGGTATGGCTGTAGACTGTGTCAGGTTCTGGCCAGAAGTCATTGCACATAGGCAATGCTACCAGAGATGAGGGGGCATCAGGGCAGCCATCCTCTCATCTGTGTCCTCCAAGAATGTCATATAAGGGATGACCCTTAAAAGGCTCCTGCCACCACCACCCCCCAGTATTAGAGGGCAAGCTGACCGTGTGTATAGGGTGCTCAAACACTGTGGGTCTCACAAGTGTATTCTGTGGTTAAGGGGCTGAGACTCCCCCAAGGGCCATCCAAGATATGGAGGTGTCTGGCCCTCTGAGGACCTCAAATGTCCCTTTTGTCAGTAACCAGCTGACATCTTCTGGGATGCATTCTATAATTAATAAGCTCAGATATTTGAAGGGCCAGACAAGTCAATTCTGTGGATGGTGGCTTGGGGCCTCTGAGGGCCAGAAAAGTCCTTTCTCTGAATAGGAGGCTCAGATATGCTGAAGGGCAGAAACCTATTATTCCTCTAGGATACTTGGGACTTCTGGTTCCTGCCAAGATGACAGACAGCACAAGCTGCTGATTCCCTTGCCTGGAGAAACTACAGAGGAAAACACGGGCTCCAGAAACTGCAGCATAGCTCTGATAGACCCATGAAGAAATGGAAGGCTGTCTTTAACTGGTGTGTGTTTTGAGGGGCAGATGGTTCAAGGCAGCAGATAGAGGGTAGACAAGGGAAGAAGAGATTTAAGTTCTGGTTCTTACTTCTTCCCCGTATTGCCTTGGGGAGGTCCCTGTCTGCTCCCTTCACTGCAGAAATGATCCAAACCACTGGTACAGGTATCTAGCGGGCTAGTATCAGGGCGGCAAGAGCCCTGATGGGGAAAGAAATAGACAGCCAGAGGCCATCAGTCCTCTACCTCTCCCCCTCCAGACACCAGAGCTGGTAGATTGCACCTAGGGAGACTGCCTCCTCTTAAAGCTGCCTTCCTCTGAGGGTTTAAAGACGAATCCCTCACAGGGGGGACAGGGTCAGGTGTTGTGAGAGGAAGCAGAAGTGATGAATGTGCTTCTGTGGTACCTGGGACTGTCCGGCCTCTGCCTTATCTCTCACACATCCCTTTACCCTGCAAACTCCAGGTGATTGAGCAGACTAGAGGCTAGCCCTCAGCCTTTCCCTGGTACATTTCACTGGCCAGGGCAGCTAATAACATCAGGGGAATGTGAGTCCACTGCCAGAGCTAGACAACAGGACACCACCAGAGAAAATCAGCTGAACATATTAGTTATCTATTGCTGTATAACAAATTGCCCTCAAATTTAACCACTTAAAATATCACAGTTTCTGAGGGTCAGGAATCTGGAAGCAGCTTAGCTTAGTGATTTTAACTCAGGATCTCTCCTGAGGTTTCCGTCAGATTGTCAGCCAGGACTGCAGTCCGCTGAAGGCTTCACTTGGCTGATGGACCCACCTCCAACATGGCCTGGTCACAGGGCTGTTGGCAGGAGGCTTCAGTTTTTCACCACCTGCGCTTCTCCATGGGGCTCCTTACAACATGCGATCCGAGCAAGCAGGTGAGAGACCATGACCAACACAGAAGCCACAGTGTCTACTATAACTTAATCTCAGAAATGACATATCATCGCTTCTGCTGTATTTTATTGGTCACGTAAGACAAACCCTACTACACCATGGCAGGGGACTATACAGGCTGTGACGCCAGGAGGCAGGGGTCACTAGGGGGCATATTGGAGGCTGGCTACCACACTGGGTAACATAACGTCCAAAGCAGAAGTAGTATTGGGACAGACAGATGAATATTTTAAATAACTCTAATAAATAAGAGATAATAATACAATATAAAACAGGAACTAGAGATTATAAAAAGGGCACCAAAAGATGTTAGCTGTGACTATGATGGTAGAAAAAATGCAATAAAAAACATACCATAGGCCAGACGTGGTGGCTGATGCCTGCAATCCTAGCACACTGGAAGGCCGAGGCAGGATGATGGCTTGAGATCAGGAGTTCAAGACCAGCCTGAGCAACAGTGAGACCCCCGTCTCTACTGAAAATACAAAGAAACTAACCGGACAACTGAAAATAGAAAAAA